GGTTAGAGGGGGCAATAAGTCTACTCTCGAAATTTAAAACAATTATCAGCTTCCCTGAAAATTGAATTATCAGCATGTACATGAATACTTGAAACAACTGTAATACATTTCCATAGAAAACCAATGTCTAAAATAGAATATGTAATTTTATAGTCCATCGGTCTTCAGAGTCTTCGACAGAGTCAATTTCCTAACTTCTGTGAACTGCTGAGACACAAAATCACTGCTTTTGTAAAAGCTAGAAAGGAGAATAGATATTATTTAGTTCAATCCCCTCATTATTCAAGGAAGGGGACCGAGGCTGTCAGAAGTTAAATGACTTGCCCAAGGACAAACAATCACTTTGTGGCAGGGTTGAGATTCAAACCTGGCAGTTCAAGCTTAGAGCCCTTGGCATGCCACTTATTAAGTCACACACAAGTCTTAGTTCTAAAGGACAATGAATTAAGTCACCAACCAAGGAATGCTATGTTTAAGATGTTCTGCCTTGATAACATTCCCACTCTTTCCCAACCCTCCCTTAAAAGCACCGTGAATTTGCCTTTGTCAGAAGATGAAAGAACAAAAACCAGCAGACCCAATTAAATGTAAAGAACTTACTCTGAAAAATTCTTTTGTTGATCCAGAGTCGAGGGTCCCATATGCAATTTCAGTCTGCTTAGCTAAATCTTCAGCACTCTCTATGGGAGAAACCATCCTCTCCACAGTCAGGAAAGCAGCGAGATTGGCAGTATAGGAAGAAATTATGATCAGGGTGAAGAACCACCAAACCCCTCCAACAATGCGCCCTGAGAGTGACCTGCAAAATGAAACAAAGACAAATCCAGACCCAGAGGGGCCAGATTTCAGTTTAAGTAATCATTATCTTTATTTCTGGAAAGAGGAGTGGTTCACTGTAGCTGGTGAAGGAGGGAAGTAAATGATGTCAGGGAATTAACACATCAAACAAAAGTAACACGTTAACAGCAACAACCCATGTTACGATGGCATATGATGATACACGCATAATGCTCTTCAGGTCTATATAGGTTTCAAAGCAGGATTAAAAAAATTTAAATTAATGTGCAGATGAATTTGTATAAGAGGTTGCCATTTATGCTTAAAAAGAAAAACTGTATTTGTATTCTCTTGTTTATAAATTAAAAAATCTCTGGAAGGGTACACAAAAAATTAATTATAAAAAATGGTTGCTTTTAGGTAGAATTTGGTGGTGGGGGATGGAGGAAGGAGACTTCTCATTTACACAACTGTCTCTGCAGGATTTTTTTTTTAATTGCAGGAAAATATCGTTGTTTTTTTTTTTTACCAGCTCTAACTTACATGTAATAATTCTGCTTATTGGATTATCTTCCTGTGAGCTTTGCTGGGCCACCCACACCTGTGGAAGACTGCATCATTTCCTTTAAGGCAAGTGGTTCTCAGCTTTGCCTACACAGTAGAATCACCTGAGATCTTTTTTAAAAATCTCATGCTCAACCCAGCCGATGTAGCTCAGTGGTTGAGCATTGACCCATGAACCAGGAGGTCACAGTTCTGTTCCCCATCAGGCCACATGCCCGAGTTGTGGGCTCGATCCCCAGTAGGGGGCGTGCAAGAGGCAGCTGATCTATGATTCTCTCTCATCATTGATGTTTCTCTCTCTCAACCTCTCCCCTCCTCTCTCTGAAATCCATAAAAACATATTTTTAAAAAATCTCATGCTCAGGCCCACCCAAGACCAGCTAACTCAGAACCTGGGAGGTCAAACCCAGACATAATTATTTTTTTAAAGCTTGCCAGGTGATTACAATATGCAGCCAAGGTTGAGAACCACTGATGTAAGGTGATGTCATGGGAGAAAAAGTCACAAATGTTTACATAATTGAAGAGAAATGGGTAGGTGACAGTAAATATTATTCACTTTGAGTTTAATAAATTTAATGAAAACATGGCCATTTTGTGGAGTTGGTCACCCATGAGGCAAGGAGCCATAAGATGATATTTAGTATTGTCTTTATATAAATGGCTAGTGGGGCTCCGGAGCTTAGCTCCAGGGATCAAAATTCTTCCCTTTTACTAAGCCTTAGCATACAGGACAGGCCACAAGTGAAGTAAGAAACTACCCATATAATAGGATTGAGAGGCACTAAAAGGTTTGTCTCCCCCAACTCCCATAACAACCAAACAAAACCATCCTCACTGGCCTAACATAGAAATTCTTATTATTGGGACCATTCTCTGCATTTTCTTCAGGAGGCTTTATCAAAATATTACAAAATAGTGATGGGACTGTAAAATACAGCATAGGGAATGCAGTCAATACTACTGTAATAACTTTGTTTGGACGGTGTCAGGGGAGCACTAGATTTATTGGGGGATCACTTTGTAAGTTATATAAACGTCTAACCACTATGCTGCACACCTGAAACTAATATGATATTGAATATCAACTGTAATTGAAAAATAAAAAAAAGTTATCACTTGACTTCAACAGCACCCATTATCACATTTTTTTGGATTAGTCTATCCAATTAGTAGTGAATGGGACAGAAGGTGGGTATGTTTTAATAAGAGGAAATTTTGTTCTTAAATGTAACTATGCATTGACATTACCTGGGGTGTTTGTTAAAATGCAGATTCAGAATATCTGAGTGCTCAAGAATCTGTGCTTTTTAAAATTTTATTTTTCAGTTATAGTTGACATACAATATTGTATTAGTTTCAGGTGTACATGATAGTGATTAGACACTTATATAACTTACAGAGTGATAACCCTGATCAATCTAGTACCCACTTGGCCCCATACATAGTTATTACAATATTATTGACTATATCGCCTATGCTGTACTTTACATTCTCATGATTATTTTTGTAATTGGAAGTTTGTACTTCTTAATTCTCTTCGCCTTTTCCACCCATTCCCCCACTCCTTAAGCATCACTGGTGATTGCAGTGGTCTGCAGACCCAACTGAAAAATATTGTTCTTCTACATCAGTGATTCTTAACTCTGCCTGCACATCAATATCATCTGGGGAGCTGGAGACAAAATAAAGCAAAACAACAAAAAACTGTGAGTAGGCTCCACCCCAGACCAATTAAATCAGAATCCCCGGGGATTGCGCCTAAGTAGCAGCATTGTTATAAAGCTCTGGCGCAGCCAGGGTTGCGAGTTACAGACCTACATCACGAATGCTACTCAGGGAGAGGGCCTGTGGGAAGTTAGGGGGCAGTGTGAGGGCACTGAATGCTCAGTGATGGGTAATGGCTTGTACTGAGGAAACTCCATCTCCTTCACAATGTGCTGAAGGCTGGCTTTGTCTGCAGAAATGAAAATCTGGCCGCTAGGTTTTATAAAACATTGCTGCATTATCCTTAGGATAGTTCTGCTCTGTAGCAGAGCTTCATCCTGGTTAGGCTATGTTCTCTCATGCCCAGAAAAGCTCACAGGAAAAGAACCCACTCTGTCATAAAGTCAAGAATAGGCGTAGGAGCCTGGCACATCTCCAGGCTCTGTGGGAAGAGGGCAGTTCTGGGCTGAAAGCTGGCAAATCAAGTTCTTCTTTGTACTTGCATTTTACCACTTTGAAGGAAATTTCAATTTCTGTGTCCCAAGATAACCTTTTATTAGCCTCTGGATAATTCAGTTCTTTTAGATTTTACACTCTGATCAAATAATTTTGGCAAGTGTTTTGATAGTGTTCTTTGTTTATCAACTATAACAAAACTACTTGATTTTTAAAAGTCTGTGATTCCTATTGGTCCTTGCGTGCCTAAAATGACCCTTATTTATTTCTGAACATAATCACATTTAGCTTTTTGGATGTGAAAATCTGCTTTGCAACAGATTTTTCTAACTTATAGTTGTACTCTCTTAGGATTTCAAATGGGAACATTTTCCTTTGATCAAAAGATGTAAAAACATCTGGGAAAGTGAGAAAGAATGTGTCACACTTCTGAGAGCTAAAAGTTTACAGAATATTTCAATTATGAATTTGGACCTTTCACAGTCTTTTTCATTGTTGCCCTATACATTTAATTTATTCTTGACTGATCTGACTCTGGACATAATTTAATGTATAAAAGATTAATGCTCCGAAGCAGCATCTGTAGTAACAAGGTAATAAAAATGATAACAATAATAGCTAACATTTATTGAGCTCTTCCTATGTGACAGACTGTTCTAATTGCTTTACATGTTTCAACTCTTTTAATCCTTCATCCCTACAGTTAGGTACAGATAAGAAAGCGGTGGTATTTTACAGATAAAGAAATTGAGGCACAGAGAGGAGAAATAGGAAATAATTTATATTTACACAATAGGAAAGAAAGGTCCACATATTTGTAGTACAAAATTACTCATATTTTGTCCTGGTTGGTTTGGCTCAGTGGTTAGAGCATCAGCCACGGACTGAAGGGTCTGGGTTTGATTTCAGCCAGGGTAACGTGTCTCCATTGCAGGCTGGATCCCTGGCCCGGTTGGGGCACGGGTGGGAGGCAGCCAGTCGATGTGTCTCTGTCACATCGATGTCTTTCTCTCCCTCCCTCCCTCTCTCTCTCTCTCTCTCTCTTCCTTTCTACCCTCTCTGAAAAAGCAACGGAAATAATATCCTCTGGTGAGGATTAAAAAAACCCCTCATATTTTGTATAAGAAAATCCAAAATAGTGTGTAAATTATAGAAGGTGCAATTTTTCTACAAACATTGAGAAATATAATTGCAGAAAAACCAAATGTATTTGGATAGTTATTGCTTATCTGTTGTTTATTTGGGATAAAATTGTGAACGTCATTCTAATTTGGAATGATGGGGTTTACTGAGATCAAGGGAAAAACTGATTTTGAAGTATTTCCAGAATCATGGTTTGGTATGGAAATACTAATAGATTTTTATGCATGTCTACTTGAAATGTGGAGAACACAGTAATTTATGGAAATTACACTTGTGACATTCTATTGAGGCTAATGGATTATGGCTGTGTCCGTATGATCTAAAATCAAGCCTGCACATCATAATCTGGCTATTTTGGCCCCCTTAATAGCTGACTCAGACAACATTTGCTTGATTGGTGTGACTTAGCTGAGATTGGCTATTGACATGACTGAAAATAAACCCAGATGCAAAATGGTCGTTTTTGTAACCTCTTGTCTACATGGCTATTGAATTTGGCAATTACATGGTTAATATTATGCTATATCTATGAGTATGAAGAATTTTGGTAAATATCCACATAGAAATGTCATAATAGTATACACAAGCATCAGCATAGATGGAGAAAGGAACTTTCTTAGAATCAGTGTTAAATGCACGAGCTTGATTCAATATTTTCTCAAGACAATAGTAGACTTAACAAGAGTACTGGTAAAATTTCTACAACTTTCTTCCCTTGTATGGCATGGATGACTAAATTTTTTCTCTGAGAAAAGGTGCAGTGGAACTCATAGGGAAGTAACTCTATAAGAATTTTTACCTATCCCTTTTCTCATAAGTGAAACTATAGCAATTTATACCCACATTTCACATAGAGGCTATATAAAGAGTGACTGATGGGTGAGCCCCATCACATTTTTAAGAAGATCTATTAAAAAGACATGACTTTACAGTTGAGTTAAAAATACATGTCGTTTTCCAGTATCCTTCCTTCCATTAATACAGCTTCAAAATGTTTGACATTCATTTCAAATACCTTTAAATTTTTTTATTGAATGTATTGAGGTGACATTGGTTAATAAAATTGTATAAGTTTCAGGTGTACAATTCTGTAATGCATCATCTATATATTGTATCGTGTGTTCACTACCCCAAGTCAAGTCTCCTTCCATC